AATCGTGATATTACCCTCACAATCATGTGTTATTTTTTTAAATATTATACGCACTTACCTTGCATTTGTTGTATAACGGCATTGCTAAACCTACTACCATACGAATCGAACACCACTTCACCCTGTAATATATCAATACAGAGCAATATCACTAATACATTGATGGTAAACGGTAATGACTGGGAAAATCTTATAGTTTTGTTAAAAGACGTATCAATTCTTGAATTTTGGATGTTTCAGAAAGGGTAGGTAATGGCGCCACATCCCTAATCATATTTCTTAAGTTATTAATTATGTGTCATATGTTCGTTTCAATGTTCAGTCGCTCATTATTCATCATCGCGTTTACAATTACTAGCATTTCCTTAAATGAAACATCTCTTACTGCGTTTCGATGTCAGAAAAATAAAATTATTAAATAAAATATGTCTGAAAAACTTACGGTAAGACCAACAAATGTAGTTTTCCCTGCCTGTTCCCGGAAGATTCTTGCCATCTCTGCATCGCTGTAGGTAAACTCATGCAGTTTTCGTGGAGGATTTAACTTCTCAACTTTCTCGATTGATGAGTTAAGCGTCAGTGCCATAGTTACTATCTGATCGTAACCATACGAGTCGCACGCACCGCCGGTAACCAGTTGTGATTGTAGATGACGGTAAAATTCAATCTGTTCAGCAGTCGGGTACTAAGGAAATAAATGTTACATACAAGAATTTACATTTTAAACATAAAGGTAATTGTATATGATGTTGTAACAATTATTGAACATTTACTAAAACAGAATACTGTAATGTAATACGACCATTTCAATTAATACGCTGACATTCTCAATTTATGCAGCGCAACGCAACACAACGCAACGCAGCATATCCCAAACACAATACAACCCTATGCAGTCCAGCCCAACTGAACCCAGCCCAACCCACTTGAATCCAATTCAGAATAATGTTACATAAGTTGTTCGATCTCTTTAATAATAGGAGTATCAGTATTTTTGTTTCGTAATTAAAAAGAGTTGTCAAGTAGAAATACGTTGATTGTAAACTATATTAAGTCCAGATTTAGCAGAAAGTTTTATAGTTGATTGGAGATATTAAACTATTTCTGAGGAACAACATACAAACATGTATATTCAATTTAAGAGGTAGAAAACCGGTACTAAAATTGACCCTCGCCTGGGAACCCGAAACTCGTCAATTCGTCAAGTTTAAATCTTACCACGCCGTTAAAGTTTATTTTACTCGTATCTTTTTGGACTTCGAATCCACGCATACTTATGGAACCATCGACAAGTAATCCAACTTGCTCAGAAGTGCACGTTCTTTCGCCCCGTTGTTCGGCTAAATGTGTTTCTTCCACCCACCACTGTGCGTGGTACCATCCAACGAGCATCCAGACGTATTTGTCACCATAGTAACCTTGCGAGTAAGCCTGAGAACAAATATGCATGTTATTCTTAACGAATGCACGGGCACTGATTGATAGCTCTCCATTTGAGGCAAAAAACGAATAAGGCACAAAAGCACATGTCTTGAAAAAATGTTACTAAGTGCCGTGAGGTTATCGACATCAAGAAAAAAAACACACACACATATACACAGACAAAAAGGACATTTAAATTGAATATACAATGTATGATTAATTTATAATATATAATTTATGAGTAACTACGTATTTTTGACATCATTCAAATGTGTCGTCGCTAGATGGCGCTACATATAAAAAAGGTGCATTATTTTTGCCCGGGTGTGGCAGGGATTACCTCACACAACACCTTCGTCATGATATCTTGATAGAATAATCCTATGATAATTCTTGCATCATGTTTCTTCAAATTTGCCACCTGTTCGTGCGGATCCTGGTCGACATATTCCACCGCGAGTAGTTGGATACCTTCTTGTCGCATGGCAACAACCATTTCTTCCATCAACTAGCAGAATGATCATACTCCAAATTAGTGTTTTTATATATTTCACAAAATTTGCATTTAAACATATAAGATGCCGAGCCAAATGTCATGTTGAAAACATTCGCTTTACTAATTGTGTTTGTCAACGACGGCAAGTCGCGTTTGTAGTGCCACATAGATATAGTTCGAATGTGTCGGACTTGGAGACTATCCTTCATAAAAAAAACAACGTAAAAAAAGACAGACGTGTACTACACAACCTATCAATAGTTTCTTTGTGTTGTTTTTATCGGCTGTTCTCATCTCGGTGAAAGCGCTTTCTAATTTCACATATTTCGTAGGAATACGTATCACGGTGCAAGGGGATATACTTTAAACTGCCTGCCGCGTTACACGTCCCATTTCTATTTCAGATAGAACATGGTTATTAAAGGTTTAGACTGACATTAAACAGACCGGTTTGAGGCTTCGTTTTGTATTTTTTTGGAAACGATTTTCTAGATAATTATCTTGACTATAACACCTTTTTGTAGGTTAGACTTTAGTTTCTCTTCTGTCTAATGAATGTATTGAATGTCTGATAAATATCCGATAATGAAAAAAATGTAATACACCGACTTCATGTAGAAAATACTGTCTACGATTTAAATAACATTCTGTAATTATTTGATACCATGTTAGTCCAAATATTTAAAAGGATCGTCTTACATAGACATGTGATTTACATTATTAAAGTTGCCACACTGCTTTTAAGACTGTGATGTATTTTTTATTCAGGAAATGTTAAGATGCACTCAGGTTTAGTGACCGTTGTGCTGTATGTAAAAGTTTGGTATTAAGTTTGTTGATATCAAATAATGCCACTGGTGGCTTGTACAATTTAATATATTACCTCACCTCGAGGCCTTCCCTATTTATGTCAATCATCGTGCTGCTTGACATGCCATATTTAGCGTCTAACAAGTCGGTTTGAGAACAATTACTCAATTTTGTTTCAAATACCCCACGAAAGTGTTCACGGTTGTGTGTGCACTAAAGTATTTGTATGCAACACATTTTTCCGCGTAGAAACGCCAGATGTTGTCGAATTACAAAAACAAATCGATTGGCCTTGTAGTAGGAATCTAAAAAACTCGTTTCTTAACTTGTGTTTGGTATGCTTATTTAATTGACTTCTACCTTAATTGCAACCATCAAATTATAGTCGCGCAAATTTATCGCCTTATGCGACAAAATTCCAGCGTCTGTGTAGGCGATGAAAACAGTCATAGGTTCTTCTCATGAAAATAATGTTCATGCATAAGCTGGATTGCGGCTGCAGAGCAGCACAGACAATAACATATATGAAACTCACATACCAATATTTCTTATGACGTACGAGTGGTAATGTAATACTTACTCTTCGAAATAAGTCGACATTTTGATAGATTATTGCCACCCGCGTCCATCCAAATAACTGAATTAATTTCGTGCGTGCTGGGGTGAAGACATTGGAATTAGGGTAGATCTGAACTGTGTACTGATAACGCTGTAGATGTTCGTCATTTGATTGAAACTGCGCGATACACACCTGCGAAAGTTAAAACATAATTATCTAATGTGAAAACGACTAGAACAAGAGTAAAGAACTTAAAGCAGCACAATCGTTTTTGATATGAATCCCTATCTACGTACACAACACAACGCCTGTGAAATAATACTCACCTGTACGAGGTTATATTCTTTCGCAACCTCGTTCACCACTTCACCTACTTTAGAATATATAGGACCCCATGCCATCACAATCGGAGGTTTGTTGTATACAAAATCATAAATTAATTTCAATCCTGGAGCTGGTTCAGCCTGTGACAAATTAAAGAGACGTACATATTAATAATTTGTTTGCAGTTAACGTATCAGAGATAACACGCCGCCCGTTTAAACACAGATCGTGAACATACCTGATTAAGAAATGATTGTGTATATTCATGAGCGAACTGTGTGAATAAATTAACCAATCACCGTTCGTATTAGAACTCTCCGTCTGCTTTGTTCTTGTTGACAGAAACATTTCTTCGACATTAAATTAAAGCTTACTATTCCTCTTATTTAATCGACATCAAAACGCTTTATTTAAATTTGTTGAAAATACATGCAAATTCGCCTTTACCTTTTTGTTAGAGAAATCGCTCACATTATGAATGAAAAAAAAACATTCATTGCAAATGAAATGGAATTTAATCTAGGCAGCTCTAGGAGATGATTCAAACTGAAGGCCGATTTTTTCATATCAACATCAAAATCAACACCTTAGTTTAGACTTTATCTAGTGTAATTCTTTCCGGAAACGTGTTTGGTGATTTGGAGGAATTCAACTATGACCCGAAAATCTGACCAGCACGTGCTCGGAAACAGAGTTGCACGGAAACGTATCATCCCTTTGGAGTTATATTGCAATTATAATTCCACATAAATCGGAATTTTGCTCTGAAAATCTAAACGAGTCTTGTGTGGTTGAACGAGTTTGAAGGTGGTATTTATTTTTCCCTTGGAACGTACTCACAGAGATAGAGTGACCTTGATTTGTGACCTCTTGCCCATAAAATGTCGCCAGTCTTGTATGGGGAAACATTTCCGCCAAGTTTGAAGGCCCTAGTTATTTTTTTGGAGTTCTATACTGAACTTACATTAACACATACTATGACCTTGTCTATTGACCCTTTGTCACATACTTAGTGGACTACTTTTTGACTCTGTTATGCGCTGGCGTAGGTAATGACGTTGTAGATTATATTCAATGACTCATGCCTGTATCATGCCCTAGCTACACATATTGGCACGTATTGTCACTGTGCTCAATCAACAATCTAGGTCCGATTAGACAGTTTTTTAATGAGAAAATGCAACAGGATCTGAGCATCTTAGTCGGAACATCCGTCGGATTAGTTGACAATCCGGTCCCTATTAACATATACAGTGGCGGGTGAACGCATTGTTGTCAAATATGAATTAAACATCCATTAAATCACCTTCCAAATACGTCACGTGGGGATAAAGTAGTTACGTTGTCTGAAATATATTCTAAGTTAGGCCTCACAGGCACATACAGCAATTGTAATGTATATGTTGTTTGTTTCCTGATATTTCTAGATTTTAGGAACCCGTGTTCCAATTGATTTCTCTACTCGAGAATTTCTCGCGAAGCGTACATTGTTTGACTGGGTTTATATGGCTGTGCAATTCAATTACATCTGACTGGCTTTAATGCACAGTGTAGAAAACGTAAAAGACATTTACAAAACGTGTGTTATACTTCTCACAAATGTAATATAGAACTTCCACACACTGTAAGAATAATCGAACAGGGCAAGTAAAATCACCTCGTGAATAATCTAATAGCTAGTGACCAATCAAATTCATGTGGTGATTTGAATGTTCCAGGTCTCAGCTACAACCACTACAACAGCCTTGCACAACAATTCTGGGGCAACTATGCTGTACAAGGAGATATTTATCTATTTAACAACGTATTTAGTGATGAAGATTTAGTTCGATGCCGTCGCTGCTAGCGCTTCATTTGTGCTATGTTACCAGCGATTAGAGTTGACGAGTTATTGTCAGTTGCACGCGCTGCACAAGTGTACGTTAATGTAGTTTTCTGCATCCGTATTAACAATCTAGTTGCCGAATCCTCCCGTATAAACGTACTTACATTTTCACCATACATTTTGCATTTCAATATACAAATTCTCTCAAAATTTGACAACCATAGTTATGTTTACGTGGTTCCTCTATACGCGCGTGTGTCATTAGAGTGCAATGTCAGCGTGGTTTTATAAACTGAAGGGTATGTTGTGTTTCAATCCATTTCACGCGACTAGCTCTCCCCCAATCAGTTTGGTGTACTAGAACATGGGAGATGACAATGCCATGTATCTTTCAAGATTATACAAAAATAATCTCCGGCTGACGTCATTCTCGTTTCCGTAATTGGACATAACGCTAGAAATGGGTCTCTCTAAAATTTGAGATAATATTTAATCGAATATCATATTTATGTCAATTTAGGCTCGATATTTGCTTGCGGAAATGCTTTTTACATTGTCTTATCATTAAGTCTATATTCTAAATTTTATCTCCAACATTTTTTACATTATCAACAAACACAGTTGAAAGACGATTTGTTATGGCATCTGATGACTGATTTACGACATATAAATGGTAAGATATTTTCCAAAATAGAAATACACTTCCACTTTCAATGCTGGAATAATCAACTATGTAAACTAATACTCCCATGATGGTATCCGATCGTCACGTGTGCAGAGTATTACACTAATCAAAATATAATTGAATGTGACATTTAATAAAAAAAGCTTTCACCACGTCAATAAATGGAGATTTCTGTACAATGTGGCAAACCTAAATTTATTAAAACTTTCTGTGTGTTTATAATTCGGTTAAATAATTTCAACATCATTTCCTTGCCTTTTGCAATTATTTGCAGTTATAATCACCTAAAAACGGTGTATATGCGTTTCTCACGCAACGAAAATACATAGATTTTCAGTACAAAGAAATAAGAGATATTCTCTGAAGCTTGACCTTAAACCTCGCATTAACATAGCAATCACCACTCAATTTACAATGAATAGAACTACATAATATCAGCGTATCTTAACCTTGCTGATATTGAAAATATGATAGCATCCGTTGGCTATCAAGTACTAACGAGCACATCACAGACATAACCAGATACGATTAACACACTTCGAAATGTGGGTTAAATTGCAAGAAACAGAAGTTACTAAATAATTTAGTCAAAATCCACGAGGCACTCACGAATAATCTCACGTGAAACTTCTCAGTTTCCGCGTAGACAAATGCCCTATATCATAGTATCATATCGCAATGCATCTTGGAATATAACACACTGTCACAGATTCATTTAAATACCAATGTTTAGCCAAACACAAACCACATTGTGAATCCATTTTTTTTCGAGCACATCCATGCCATTTATATTACAACTATGCATGGGAATTAGATCAACGAATGACGTCCCGTAACTCGTGAAATTAACACATTAACGCGTGATTAAAATTACTAAGAAAATAAAGCATTCAATTATACATCTTTAAATTGTTGTCGTGGTTAACTCTTTTGATTGGCACACGAATATCATAGCTCATCATCGCTTCCTCTACAAAAACATCTGTATTATGTTTCTAGATTGAACTGTTGCATCCTGGGAGGTAACCAAGTTTGTACCGATGATAACATAACTAAATTCAAAATCTAGTAAAAAGAACCTACCCGTAAACTCTACTTAACAGCCGTTCCTAGTACAGTGGCATTTGACCACTGTGAATTTGAATAATCAACTGGTCCATTAACGTGTGACTTTTATACATTGTGTGGATATACGTGTGTATTTTGTTTGTATGTGTTACGTTTAACCCATACTGAGGTACAGACGAATTATTACGTAGCAATTAAACTCTACGTATAATTGGGCATAATATCAGGTAAAAGTTGGGTTGTGATATTAACAGCAATATCCTGTTGAAGTCATCTCCATAACATGTAGGCAGACTAATCCTTCTAATTCACATATCCTCACCGCACGAAGAATTTTACAAATGCTTTAGATTCAACAATATCCTCACTGGCGTTAAAGCTTACATTAGTAAAGATTTGTAACCATCTGGGAAAAGATATTACATAGGTTTTCGGGGGAAGTCATTCATTTTGTAAATCACCCACAGTCTCCATCAGATACATCAAGTATTTATACAGTATTTATTATGTATGCACACGACTTTGTTTGGCACTGGATTATGCACTGCAGTTTAGCAAGTCTTGTGCGCCTAATGTTCAATGGGTTAATAATTTTCCATATTCAATCAATTTAAAATTCATGAAAGGCCTAGTATAGTAGTATTTATATTATCTATATCAAGAAGTACTCATTCACTTCAACATCAACAACAACAGAACTACGGAACTACCTTCGAAAAATGTAATGAATTGACTTTTCTTGCTTTAAGGTATAGATACTGGTTCGTTATATTTGTTTTTATATATTCTAAGACTGTGTTGGCTACACACTTTTGACTCTTCTGAGCTTTGCAACTTTAGTACATATTAAAAAATGATCGAAAATATTGAAACACTATGTCAGATATGATTATCTTTGTTTGGATATTTGGCATTATCCACTACTTGGTTACGCAGTTGATTAGAAGTTTTCAAGTATAAATTACCCCTAGAGTTTACGTCTATTGCATCTGAGATTTACACACTATGTTAGGTAGTGTGTTTCTCAGGCACAGAGCGTCCATGTATTTTTATATAGTATTTTGTTCGCAGGCAATTATACCAGAAGTTTTAATTAATCTGTTTTTCTTGATAAACATAACAAAAACATAATATGAAAGTTTCTGATTTGAACTTCTGTTTTAATTACTCGAGTACAATAATCAATAATCCCAATCGTTTGTTGTAGATAAACATGACCTCCACATAATGTGAAGGTTTCACTTATAGCAGTACTTTGCAAACTAAACTGTAATACTCAAGTTGAGAGAATGAACAATTTGCACACTTATTCACTATTACACCAGTTTAAACCTTTACATAAACAAACTGAATAATGTTTTGTAAAATGTTATTAGATGTAAATTATATAGAAATTCAATTATTTGGCTCAAACAATTGCAATTTTTTACTTTTCATTGTAATTCGAGTGGATTTGTAAGTACGTTTCACTTGTGATAAAACTTCCTAATTGTAAAAATTTGAAACCAAGACTGTATACTGTTTCATCGTAAGATTATCAAATCAATCTTCAAAATAAAGGG